TCTAGGACACAGGTGTAGAGAGGGAGATTGTCAGTTTTAAGGTTTATGAGAATTCCCAGGGACACATGGGTTTTGTTCAGGGGAAAGGATTCACCATCAAAATTTCAAACATCTTGAAAATACCAAGAAGAGTTGTTTTAGAGATAACGATAATTAAATGAGAATCCTAGCTTTTAAGGGCTCATGGAAACCTAAGAGAAAGACAGAAAAATAACCCCCATTAACTGAACTCACTTTGTAGGAAACAGTGTGTTGATTCAGATTTTAATTTATTTAGTCTTTACATGAAAGCACTAGAGCAGATATTATTATCAACTCCAATTTACTGATTAAGAAACTGAGACTTCAACTAACTGAAGTGCCCAAAGTCAGAAAGTTGGGAACTGATGAATGTGGGAATCAAATTCAATGTGTTTTGATCGCAGAGCCTGCGCTTTTAATCACTGGGAAATACCACTCCTTGATGAGTTCAGTAGAAATACATTAAAAAAGAAATTTTCACTAATGATCCAAGAAACACAAAGGAGGAAAAGTAACACTTCCATTGGCTCCTGAATGCAAAACTAAGAAAAGTTTCAGCAAGAGTATCAGAGTGGGTTAGGATGCTGGATGAAGACTGGCAAGAGAAAGGGAGACATCTACAAACCACGTCACTGAGGCTGATTCCAGGTGTGAAGGTCTTGAAACTGGGAGGCCAAGTTAGCCAACGCCCATCCAATAGCATGGTGAAATCCCCCCAGATGGTAGCGAAAAGCAGGAAAGGCAACAACAAATTAATCAGTGGGATAAGTCAAGATGGTATATTTTAGGTTTTCAAGACACTTGATGGTCATATTTCAATAACGTTTTATACTCAGACTGCAGTAGACTGACTGCATAATTGGCCACAGTCCCCCTCACTTCTCCCTGTGTGCATCCTGCTTTTGCAATAAGCCTTTGCAGTAATTCTCACCAAGGGATAGTTTCTTCCTCAGGTCCTGCATCCAAGCCTAATGAATGTGGCAGCACTGAGAAGCCTCTAGAGGCTTTGTGTATGCCCATGTCTGCTCTGGGGAACTGGTTACCACTCTGTGACTGAGATGAACCTGAAAGGATGAACACGCCATTTGGGAGAGAATTCTCTTGCCCGACTGACACCATACCACATCACTCAGCAGTCAGCCAATCTCAAACATGTCAGCCTTGTGCATGCAGCAGAGGGGCACAGCTGAAAACCTGACCTGCAGCTGACCAAAGACTGGTGGGTTGAGGAGCTCAAAGACAAGAAACCATCAGAAGAGCTATGTAGATGATCTACAGATTAGTGAGCCACCATCAATAGTGGTGCTTTAAGTCAGTGAGTTGGAGGTGGGTTATTTAGCATAAGTGGCACATGTGCATAATGATCCATGTGCACATGCATGTATGTGCACACACATATGCACACACACATACCACTTTCCCCAAGCCTCAAATTTCACAAACTGAAATTTTTAGATTTTGCATGAAAAAAGTTTCCAATTAATAAATAGAGAAGAATTTAGCTTATTTAATATACATTCATAGTGTATGAATATTATGTATTCATGCATATGAGCATACTTGAACACATTTGTGAGAAACAGAATTAAAAATTCAGGATTATTTTGGTGCAAAAATTAAAATCCATGCACATTTTTTATGATACACATTTTCTACACATTACAATTTTTGCACTGAATTTTTGTAGGATAGGAAAAATGTTTTGACCCAAAATAAATTCAGACACTTAATTCTGTTTTCCATGAATTTTTAAAATTTTTATGAGTGATGGAGGGAGAGAGTGAAAGAGAGAAGGGATGCAGAACACATTCCCATCCTTTGGTTCATTCCCCGAATGCCTACAATATCTGAACCTGAGTCAGGCCAAAGCCAGTAGCAAAGAACTCAATCCAAGTCTAGCATATGGGTGACAAGTCTTCACGACTTGTTGGCTTTCTTTGCTGTCTACCAGAGTTTGCATTAGCAGGAAGGTGAATTCTGGAGTAGAAACAAGATTCTCCAGTGTTGGATGTTGGCATCCTGTCTGTAGGTTAAATATCAGTTCCTCCATGAACAGGTTAGAAGTATCCTCACAGTCATAGTACATGCTAACATACTAAAAGATCTTAAAATCTTAAAGGATGAATTTTTCGTTCTACCTGTGAACATCTCATTGGTATAACATTCCTTGAAACACTGGTTTTAAGGCAGACATTTTTGTTTTACAGAAGCATTTTCTTTATTTCTCCAGATCCAGATATAAGGTAAATACTACTTTGTTTTCACAGATGATCACATAGAGGAACAGAGGGGATCCAGCAAGTGGCCATGTGACAGTCATGCCCAAGACTGAAGATTTGGCCATATCTTTTAGGGTGACTGCTGATTTCCCCAAAGACAACCCCAAGAGGTGAGTCGCTCATCTGATTTTGTACAGACCTGGACTCAAGGAAGAAGCAGCAAGGTCAAAGCCAGAACAGCAGGTGCCTTTTATAGGAACTTCTGAATGTTCCTCAGCTCCCTAGAAGATGCTTCACGTGCATTCATTGGGTTACCTATGGTTAATTGTTTCTTCTGGGGAAGGAGGAGGTGGTAAAAGCAAACAAGATCATGGCAGATTTTTAGAACACAGAAATACCATAAGGGAATGTGCTCTCATTAGAAAGGCAAGTCCACAAATGGAAGCCTAACGAACAGAGGGCAGGAAGATCCCAGAGCCGGTAAGGACGAGCAAGTGAGATATATTTCCAAACACTCACTATTTTCTCATCAAGTTAGGTTTAACAGTCACTCTTTGAAATGAAAGTACTGACACTCAGTATTAAGAAAACTCATAAAAAAGCCTACAGATAGTTTTGAGAGAACTCAGATTCCAACTGCATCTGCATGTCTACACTCTTACCTCAGCTCTTTATTCCCTGCCTTAGATTTTTAGAGATGTTGAAAAAAAAAAGCTCAAGGTAAAAGTCATCATCAGACCAACTCCAGGACTGAATGGAAACAAGAGGAGGGTAATATTCTGGAATGAAGAACCAAATAAACAAATAAATAGAAAGTCTCCTTAAAATAAAGAACCAGAGATTCTCATAAACCCTTTCTATAGGGTAGAACAACGCATATATTTAGCAAGTGTTTCTTAGGCAGTGGTGATATTCCTGTTTTCTACATGCTAGGCCGAAAATTTGCCTCTGGTAACACAAGAACCACAGGAAACTCATGGAGGTGTGCTACTAAACATGGAATGACAGTGTATGGGGGCATATAGGAAGCAGTATTCTGACTCTGCAGAGGAGCAATTCCTTAAAATTCAAAGTGGGAAGTAAAGTTGGAACAATGGGGGGAGAGAGGTGCGGCTGGGGAGGGTTAGACCAGAAGCAGGTACATTTGTACCGGAAGTGTGCTGGTTGGCCATGTTGGCCAAATGGAGGTCTCTTGGTGGCTTGCCCTGTAGGTCAGCACTAGAACCCTGAAATTGTTTTCCCCAAGACCTGTTAAGTATGAAGGTGATGTGGCTGGGATGGGGAATATATTTGCTTAAACCAAGACATAATGTTTCAAAATCAATCCCTTTGTGCAACTGGGTATGGTTTTGAAATATATTAGAGTTAGGGGAGAGAGATGTTAGAGTGGCTGGAGAAATAGAATACTGATGTGAAAGAAGCTTCCCTAGGAGGAAGAAAGAAGGGCAGGGTAGGATAAGAATAAGTCAGAAAGACTTCCAGCTTATAAGATATAGGATCTCCAACCTGTAAGGACATTGAAAACTCACCTACCCATTTACTGTTTGAATGTCCTGGGTCACTTGTTGAGAAGAGGTCTTCACAGCACAGCTTGCACGGTGCCACAATGGAGAGCTCACTTTTTTGATGCCATTTGTCTCAGTCTTGAATGGCCCTGACCATCAGGAAGGTCACCCTCACTTCCAACTTGGCTTTCCTATGGTACCACGCATGGGGCTCAACGAGACCTGGGACTGAGATAGCATCCTCTGGCATACAGCAACCCCTTGGGTTCCATCTCCATATTCAATCCATGTGCCTCATGGAATGAGGCTTCAAATCCTTTCACTGATCTTACCTGGACACATGCAGGAGTGTATTTATATCTCTCATAGTATGGGGTCCAGGTCTTCTAACAGTTTTTCTGGTGCCATCATTTTAGCTTCACAACAGCTCCACTAGGGCAGGAGCTTAATGGTCTGCCTAATTCAAAGTCTTAGCTCTTTTCATAAGGTATTAGAATGAGTGTTGACTATGACTCTACACTCTAGTTCTGATATAGTTGTGGTAAACCCACCTGCATTGCTGCTGAAGGACCTCTACTGGCTCCGGTGCTACCTAGATCATGTGCATTTGCTTTCTACATCCCAATCTGAGGTCCTAAATGCAAGTTTTGGAACTCACAGTGGATTAGGAACCACAGAGCTAGGGCTCTTCATTTTTTGATTTTTTTGTTTGCTTGTTTTGTTTTTCCCTCAGATTCTCAGAAGCCCTACAGCTCATGAGGTCCATGTACACGAGATTTTGTCCTCAGTGCAGTTCACAAGCTCTATAAGCCTCCTCTGCACAGTTTTATCCACAATGCTCAACCTTTGACTAATGCCTTATGCACCCAAATGCCCTGGCTGGATTCCTTCTTCTGTTGTCTCATTGAAGCTCTCAATTACTGTCAAACTGGAAAGGCAGCTTTCCTGCCAGGTAGGCTGAAACCCAGCCAGAATAGGACATCTAATAGTAATATCTGAGACCCTGAGTTCATCAACAGAGTGGCCTGCACAAGCCACCTCACTGTCATGCATGGGGCCAGCCTTTCATCCTGTTTGCTCCACCTTCCCTTGCTCTGTCTTGTTTGCCTTAGTTGCTATACAGCCACAGAAAGCAGTCCCCAACCATCCAGACTGTGACACTCTTTGCAGAAGCCAGTTCCTTTCCACGGGCTGCAGGCACCACGTCAGGGTGAATCTAGATGATGGAAGCCCAATAGCAGAGAGGAGTACTTACACTTACAGGTTGACTTTTTGGCACATCATAAACACCTTCCTTCTTTTGGCTGGTGGGAACCTATGGGAAGAAAAATCAACACCATAAAAACCTTTTGCATTCCACTTTCCAAGAAGAAAGCTTTCAGACTAGCTCCCATCTGGCAAAATGTATGTGAGAATGGTCTCTGAGGCCAGATGAAGGGGGCAACTCCAAGGGAGTGCTGTGACTGTGTATGCATCAGGCCAAGGTCCTGCCCTTAGAAAGACGGCTAGGAGAGGAGTGGGCACCTACCAAATGTCTGCAGGGTGTCTGCCTGTGGGGTCCTCCATGGAATCACACTCAGGGATCACATTATGGAAACATCAAGACTTCACTAAAGGCAAACCCAGAGCCACAGAGGTGCTTTCGTTTGCTCAAAATGATTAGAAACAGTTTTCAGTTGAGCTTACATTTCTCAGTGTTCAGACTGACATCCAGGTTATTTAAATTACATTTTGAACATCCCTAATCAAAACACTTTTCCCACTGAAAATTTTGTTTTGGGGATGTGCTGTGGGCAGAGTCCATACAAACATTCCAAAATCAATAAACAAACAAAAAGACAAAATCAAAACCCCAAAACAAACACACAAGCAAAAAACAAATGCACTTGTTAGCATTTTTTCCTCCAAACATTTTGAATAAGGGACAGCTGACCCATGTAACAGATAACAATGCCATAGTACCAAATGCAGCTTCTGTTGGGATCACACACAGGCCATCTGATGATTCCTGAACGTGTTCACTCCACAAAATGGCTTATATATGAGCCAGAAGATCAGCACTTTAACATTTATCAGCACTTTCTTTCCTTCCCTCCTTCATTCAGTTTGTCTTTCTGAGGGGCACACAACATCTCCTTCTGAGCATTACCACCAAAAACAGCCTCTAGCAGCACTGCTGCTGGCTCTGGTTATGGGAGGGATCCAGTGAGAAAGCTAATCTTAGCTGAGTAAAGGTATCACAGGTACCCAAGTGCTGGAATACACACAGGGATGATAATACATCATCCATATGTCACAGATGTTCGCAGGTGACATATTTCACAGTGCTAACGAGAGAATGTTCACTACTTTCCTAATGAGTCAATCTGGGCGATGTGCAGCAGCACGCCAGATTGAAAGTGCTCAGTGGCTGCTCCTTCCCCAGAAGTTTAGCTCACACCTCCAGCAAAGGACCAGTCAGCTGTGTTCATCTTCCCACTGGACCTGGACCCAGAGCTTCTGAAGAGCATATGCAGAGCTTCACACCTACGAGGTGTTTGGGGAAGGCCTAGTGGCTTTAAATACACCACTGAAGAATGCAGAGGACAGCAAACCAGAAAAAACACTGGAGCTCCTATTTTCAGTACCTCTGTTTTTTCACTGTTTGTTATCTTAAGATCCCCGCTAGGGGCCCTCAGATGTTGGTATTATCATTTCTATTTTAAAGGGCAGAAAGTGAAGCCCACAGGAGTTTGAATCATTCCCAAGACTTTTAAAAGCATGCTGTTCAAACCCAGCTCTTTTTGGTTTCCATGTAAGACATGCATTAGTAATAAGTGAGATAGGATGGGCTGGGCACAGTGCATATGCCAGGTACTTTTCTGGACATTTGTATTTTTGCACAGATTCTCCATTGATCCTAAGAACAAGGCTATCATGTAAGGGCTTCGGCTCTTTCAGTGATGCGGAAGAGGAGGCCAGGTGAGAGCCCCATAGCTGGTGAGCAGGCAAACCCAGGGCTGGATCCCGGGCTGCTTGCCATTTGATGGTTAAGCTGCACAGACAGCTACTCTGCATGGATAAAGTATTTTGTTTGTTGGTCTGCACATCCTATATTCCCAGTAGCTCATGTGCGTTCTTGCAGAAGCAGAACCATGGGTGAACATGGCTGTATGCTTTCAGAGCTGTTTTTACAAATCTTAGTTTGCAGGTAGCCCAGGAAGAAACGTCCTTTTTCTGCTCCTGATGACTGGGCTCCAGTGAAGAAGAATCCTCTCAGAGGACGGCTACAGAGTCCTTGTTAACGAGGGCCAATAAATTAGCAGCGCTCACTTTTGTTTTTACTAGCTCACCCTTTCGTGAGCAAAATGAACAGCATTCTGTTCCCCGTAATTCACTGCTCACTACGGGCACTTAGCACAGTTGAACCGCGGCTGCCTCTCAATTATCCCTGCAAATGGAGGAGAAGCGGGGCGAGGAATAAACCCAAACTGTGCATAATTGAAAAAGCTTTTCCACTTGGCTCTCCCATGGGTGAGAGATCAATCTGCCTGTTTGTTCTTTAAGATTTATCTCAGCCAGGACAACTTCTTCAATGTCCAGCTCTCTCAGCCTCACTAAGAGCCCTCCGCTGAACTCCTGTCACTTCCACAGCAGCCTTTTTAAAAAAACACTGAAAGATATCAAAGGACCTATGAGGTCCCAAGCCTGGCGCCTTTCCTGGGAGAGTGATGGGAAGGGAAAAAGAGGGATGTGAATATTATTTTAACAAAGCTCCTTGTCTTGTGTGCAGGGAAGGTCAGCGATCAGCTTCTCAAGGAGCATAAAATGCACATTATCTTTCTTGGACCTGCGAGCCCAGCAAGGGTGGGCAAGATAATGTGTTGTCCTTGCCTGTAAATAATTAAGTCAAGACAGACTTTGTCATGAACCATTCATCACGTGGATGCCCAGGTGTGGGACCCTGGCTTTCATATCTGCCCAAATGGTCCATCTATCTACACAGATGATACACTCAGCACAGTGGCGTTCAGAGAACCAGGTTTCAGATGGAAAGGAACCAGAAAACTGGTTTCCAAACTTGTTCTGCCACACGCTGGGTGACTCGGGCAGGTCACTTTGCTCACTGACTCTGGTTTCCCCATGTGCTTGTCTTGGGCATCTAAGAGGTTGTCAATAACCCCCCGAAGGTGGGGTCCCTGCCATGATCACTGTGACATATCTAGGTGCTTGGCACACTCTAGAAACTCCATGCATGTGAAAAGTTTTTGGATAAATTAGCGAATACATACTAAATTGCTTTTTAAAAGCTCTACAGGAAAAGTGCAATGCACACACAAGACGACACATAACTACATAGTGTGGAGAAGTGTTTGAAGGACATGCTGGGCGACAGAGACCAGAGAGTCAGCATTTTAGAAGGATGAGATCTGACGAATGCTGAGTGACTTACAATGATGTCTGAGTAAATGAACTAGGAAAAGGCCCACTTGACAAATTGAGAATTTGCTTACATAGGATGCTTGTTAACAGTTTAGAATCTAATTTGGTCTCAGAGCCTCTGACCTCTGGGGATTTGACTTTATTAGTTTAAAAAGTTTTTTCAGGGGCCTTGTGCTGTGGCATAATAAATGAAGCCTCTAATTGTGGTGCCAGCATCCCATATGGACACCAAGTCCTGGTTGCTTCATTTCTGATCCTCTCTTAATGGCCTGGGAAAGCAGCAGAACATGGCCCAAGTTCTTGGGCCCCTGTGGGTGACCTCGAAGAAGCTCCTGGCTTTAGCCTGGCTTAACTCCAGTCTTTGTGGTCATGTGGAGAATGAACCAGCGGATGGCAACTTTCTCCTCTCTATTTCTGCCTTACAAATTAAATAAATAAATCTAAAATAGATAAATAAATAAAACAGTCATCACAGTAGCTATTCTTCCTGACTCAGGGTTCACAGAACAGTGAAAATTATGAGAAACATGAAAATGCTTTGTACGATGAGGTTTGGTAGTGTTTTAAAAAATCACTTTTCCTGAGCCACGCAAAGGTACAGGCAGTTGTCACTGCCAACACAGGTGGGAAGCATCATCCAAGAGTAGTTGTACTGTCTCCTGGGCCTCTAAGAGCTTACTGAGGCTGGACATGAATAGGAGTAAGAAGTGAAGTTGCAGCTTTCTACCTATATCCTGGCATTCAGCTTCATTTTCTGCATGTCTGACAGCACCTGCTAGGATGGACAGGACGAGCGTGTACATGAGAGCTAGTGATGACGAGGGGGTTGTTGCAGAACATCCTCATGTGATGTCATCATCTTTGCATCCCTTTTGGGGGCAGGTAATATATTGTTCCCATTTTAGAGGCCAGGAAACTGAGGTTCTAAATCAGGCAGATGGCACAGAGACTACACAGAGCCTGCAAAAGTGTCAGAAACAAGGCTTCTGGCTTAGGAAAATAACTCTTAGACACTTGCAGACTGTTTCAATGAAAAAAAAATCAAGAGAAAAAGAAGAGTGAGGCTCCTAATTGCAGCTGTTTAAAAGCCCAGCCTTATCGTTAGGCTGTATGAGCTTATCTCTTACTAAGCAAATTGAACCCCAGAAGACTGGCCCTGTAGGAAAGGAAAATGACCAGAGAGCTTTCCAATAGAAGGTGATAAAATATTCATTCACTTAAATGGTTCTTTCCTGTTAATGATGGACAGATGGGAAGATCTGGAGGTCAGCGCTGCTAAAACAAGTGTGATTTTTAGATAGGGACAGAACGGACTGCAGAATCTTAATTGCGAAACTCAGAGGGACACAAGGCAGAGCGAGCTACTTGCCTTCTCAGTGTCCCTGTAAAATGGGACTCAAATACCCACTTTATCTGTGACAACTGAATGAGTCCGAAAATATGTTCAACATTCTTCACACAGCAGACGTTTCAGGACGCTAGTTCACTTTCCCTTTACAGAGAAGCTGTATAAGCTTTAGTTGTACTTTCTCTCTCTTTCTTTTAATAGCCTCAATAATGTTTTCAAAATACAGGTTTTAATATGTACTTTATTTTCAGTACTGGAGATAAACTTTTTTAAAAAGCCTGGTGAGAACATTTTTTAAGACTTATTCATTTTTATTTGAAAGGAAGAATTACAGAAAGAAAAGGAGAGGCTTAGAGAGAGAAATATTCCACCTGCTGCTTCATTTCCCTAATGGTGGTAATGGTTGTAGCCAGACTAAAGCCAGGAGCCAGGAGCTTCCTCTGGATCTCCCATGAGGGTCAGAGCCCCAACAACTTGAGCTACCTTCCACTGCTTTCCCAGACCACAGCCAAGGAGCTGGATGGCAAGTGGAATAGCCAGGTCATGAGGCAGCACACATATGGGATGCTGGCTCCACAGGCAGAAAACAGCCTATTAAACCATGGCACCAGTTCCAGGTGAGCACATTCTTTTCAGAAATAAAGAGCCCTACTGTGTGTCAGATAACAGCTCTCCACTTTATTAGATTTCTAAGAAAAATATTTTTTGCTTCTGCTTAGAATATTCAAGATGCATTGAAAATTAAAACATTGTATCCAACTGATCCTTAAACAGTGCAATGGCAAAGCAATTGAAAACTATTAATGAACGGCAGGGAACTGAAGGGAAACCAATTCACCAAAGCCTGGAAATGACCAATCCCCTCCCACCTTTATCATTCTTCAGCCCAGCCCATGCATTGATGCGTTCAAGGAAGTGGTGTAATGGGAAGAGAGGTAAGCAACTGTATACCTGATAAATGTTTTCTTCTGTTTCGGAATCACGGATTGGCTCATGTCCAGCCTCAAACACAATGTACTATTACAGGAACAGCCAGAGAGGAAAGGTCAGAGGTGAAGAAGAAAGAAGGGGAAAAAAAAGTATTTGGGATTCAAGAAACAAAATATAGTGAGCATTCAAAGCAACTGGCATTAAAGCAAACATGTTAAAGGTACCACTAGATTTCTAAAATACAAAGTTCTTTGCACCTTCCTGCATTATCCAGAAATAAAAAACTACTGAAGTTTGCTATGCAATCTAGCAGCAAGGGCTGCCCTAGTGCCTCTGGACTACCTGGAGAGGCAGGCTCTCCATTCAGCAGGGCTCTTAGTTATGTTTGAGCATCCTGGCACTGATGCTGTGCGTGCTGGGAATTCCACACTTGGCCACCTGTGGGTCACAACTCAGTGTCCTCGCTTTGCTCCCCATGGCTCGACATCCAAAAGAAACCTGAAACCTGGAAGAGATCCGAGGCCCCATGCTCCCTCATCCCTTATGTAAGCAATGCCCAGTCTTCTAAAAGGACAATGAACTTGATTCTTTCTGAGCCAGCTAGACAGGGGCCCACGTTTATATCATCAGCAACCTGCTGACCTTTAGCATTTGAATGCAAGGACACTAGAGGACATGCATCTTTGACTTCAGTTTGCATAGAAGCTGGTTCAAATGATAGTTCTCCCAGTTGAAATGATCTCTGTGACTTAGCATCTACCATAGCAGCACCAGCTTTCTCTGTGAAAGTATGCATTTACACATAGCATATGTGGCACACACAGACAGCATCTATGTAGCTCAGAAATACAAGGTTGAGATTTTCTCTTGAGTTCAGAACTTCAGGCTGGTTTTGGCTTCTCCTCCCTTTCCACCTTTTTGCTTGCACAGATCCCTTAAGCCCAAGGGAGGTCATCTCTCTGCCCATTGCTAGCTTGCAGACTACACCGAGTCTAGAGACAGCTACAGGCAGAGAAGCTTCTGGAATTATTCTTGCCCTCTGCCCAACAGCCCTGGCAAGGGCCAGGTAATCCAGGGGGGATCAAAACTAGGGTCAGAGAGAATTCTCGTAGCTCTTGAAACACAATCCATCCTTTGGGCTTGTGCCCAAATACCACCAAAATGTCAGGCCCGGTCTCTAGTTCTTAATGCAGATAGGCCCCTTCATTATTCACACACTCTCTAATGAACTCAGAATATTCAAGAGCTGCTTGAACACATTCAACTCTGGCTCAAACTTTTACAGACTGCGCAGGGGGCTGAGGAAGGGGCCAGAACGGGGGAGGCGCCTCTTCCGATCCCATGCTCCGGGTCTGGGCCAAACTTCTTAGTATTTATGGAAATTCACTGCTGGAGGTGCTGCCAGCCCTCACACTCACAAACAACCTTGGCCCCTCTCCAGGTTCTGCAGTCACTGAAAGCTTCCCTTTTAAAACCCCGACTCATTTCAGAAATTACCTGGTACACAGGATCTTCAACATCCTCTTCCAAAATGGTCTATTGCAGGGTGAGGGAAGCGAGGGTGCAAAGCAGAAGATACAAAGGGAGAGATGTGAGACGTTTGGAAATTATAGGACAGTAAAGCAAGTGGCACTGGAAGAAGGGGCTGGTGGGTCATTAGGACACACAGCAAAAGCCCAAGGCCTGTGGCCACCTCCCTTCTCCTCTTCTGAACAGCAGCTCACACAGCCGTGCATCTTTGCAATCCTCTGCCAGCATTGACATCTTCCTCTGGATTAAAGATTTCACTTTCTCTAGCATAGCTAGAGTTTTAGAAAATAAGGGATCATTTCTAACAGCTTGCTTCGGGTGCCTGTCATTTACACGAAACCTTTCATCTTTGTTTATTTCTGCTTGGTAGCAGGAGGCACAGGGCTGACTGTCAGTGTTCACATGTGTTTATTTTAAAATGGGTCGCTTCCTAAATTCACAGGAATACCTGGTACACGGCTTGTTCACACTGCTTATCCTTTTGTGCCTTTTTTTCCAATTCTTCTCTTTGCTTCAATTCGTAAATGAGCTGAAAGAGATCTCTCAAGTCCAGAATCACAGGTTCAGCCTGCAAGAAAGGGGGGTGAAGCTTGTTACGAAGGGAATGGGGCTGAGCTGCAGTCGCCAAGTTCTGTTGTTTTGTGGCTGCAACCAGCAGCCCTTCCTTTTTCTATTAAACTGAAAGCATTCCGTTGTTAATTAATTCTACCTTGTTTATATTGGTTTAGCAAATTGCATCTGGCTAAAGTTCATTTCTTCAACTAATTATATTTGCAAATTCATAATAATCATAGGCATAAAAGACATTGCTTTTACTTATTAGTGATTCGAAATACAATAAAATTAGGGCTGGCCTTACGCACAACAGCTATTTGTTTTCTCTTATTTTCTTTTTAAATGAGACTATGAGCACAAGGAAACTTACTTATACACTATGCCTTCATCCAGCTTAATCAGAAAGGAAAATAATCAGTCATTAGAAAATATCCATTAAGAAAGAAAAAAAAAACAAAACTTTGACTGATTGGTCTGGGCATGCTTCCTGCTGCAAAGCTGCTGCTTCTAGCGGGGGACCTGAGCTGCTGCTGGCGGGGTATGGCCAGGTGTGGAGGTCTCTGAGGGGAACAGATCGACAGTCCCATTCTTCAGCATGACCAGCAGAGACTCACAAATGCCCTGGATGTGATACTCACCGCTTGGGCTGTTTTGATGGCCACAAATCTGTGATTTCCTTCCTTCCCACACACATATCCAAAGGCCCGGTGATCTGTGATGTCCTTTGCAATGTAGGAGATTTCATGCACAGCATGATGATGCTGAAGAGCCTGTGGGAGACCAAAGGAAGAGCATGTTTTCTGGGACCTTCCCTTTGAGCTGTTGATCAATAGGAGACGTGTTTCAGTGATGTGTGAACAGGCCTGGAGGGTTTTGGAGAAGCCGTTTGGCCCAGATGGAAAGGAAGAGCTATGCCTGCCCTTGAGATGTACAGGCTTCCCTCCATGCTTTCAATGTTGTGACCAGGGAGACAAAAAGACTGTTCATTGCTGAGAGAGCGTCTGTCCTGGCAGCTGCACAAGTCAGTGTGAGATTATAGGTGAGTGCCTGCTCCATCCTTCATTGTGACCCAGCCCACTCCAACCTTGGGCTGACAGTGAACACACATGTGCACCAAGAGCTTCTGCATGCTGGGGCATACCACATACACTGTGCAAGCCCAGGGCTGCCATCAACATCCATAGCAGTGTGGATAGATCTGCACAGTGATGACACCTTTCCCAGAGTTGGTGCTAGGACGTGTTGAGAACCAACAGCTTCCTGGTATGACCATTTGGGGCAGAATGAGGTTGCTCACATCCTTGAGGCTTTGGGGGTCAGCCCCTTTGTCACATCCAATCTTTCCCTTCTTTTGTACACTTGCCCAACTCTTGTTTCTTTTCCTATGGTTATTCGAAACAATTACTTGTGTGACACTTTCCCCTTCAAGGGTTGTTTTTCTTTTTTTAGCAGAGACGATGCCTTCCCTTCATGTGTTTCTATACATTTATAGTCTCTGGCTTGGCTATTCACTAATCTCTAAAATTCTCAAAGGCTTAACACCCGGGCCAGTTTGCATGCTGACCACTGGACATCATGCCTGAAGGAGGATTTAACTGCCCAGTTACCCTATTCTCTCAAGCAGCAGTAAGATAATTCTACAATGTAATGGGTTTGAGACCCTCCTCCCCAAAAAGTTGGTGAATTAAGGCAGTGTTTGTTAGTAAAATAATCAGGATCCACTTATGTTTGTTTGATTAGAAGGACAGAATCAGCTAACAGAGGAAAATTGCTCCAGGATTGCAGTAGCTTTTTCATAGTGTTAATGATGACACATTGTTAAGATTTATATTCCCTCACCATGAGGGTATTGATTGATAGGCTTCTGTGTGCCCGGATGTTGGGCACAAAGGGGAAGTTGCAGACAAAGACACTCTTTCTCTCCTCTGACTGAAAGCATTTCTCTTTCTGCATCATTTACAGAATGTTATCCATGTCTCCTATTAAATCAAAGTTTGACGACAGTACCTTATTGATTGTCAAGGGGAATATTGCTCTAAAATTAAACTGCGATTAGAAGACTTCCTGGTGGAATTAGATTTGGAGATGATTGTGCAATGGTAAAATATCACCTACCATGCTAGACAGCAGATGGAGATGTTTTAATTTATCTAGGAATCCTCATTAAGTGTTTTAAAATCAAAACATTTTTAACGCCTGACGATACTTAATGTTGCCTTGCAAAGTGTAGCTGTGCATGTGTGAGTGAAGTGCTTAAAGATACTTGTAATATTATCTTTTCCCATAGTTAATTTTATGACATGTTAAAAAGGATTTCTCTTGAAAGTGTCTCATTCATTTGGAAGCTAACAGTCAGTAGGGGAATATGTCTCTTCTTTCTCCAATCTTAACCATGCAGGCATAATACAGATACTTGGAAACACAAATACATTCAAATTTTGCTAATCCCACAGTTGTATTATCACATTCATTTCAACAACTCAGAGCGTCATGCAAATACTTGCTCAGTGAGCCTCAAAATTGCCCATGTCTTCAAGAAGATTTTATCAGCACACAGACAGCTGGAGCTAGAAACAACCTAAAGTACTACATAGCTCAACTTTGAGTCCATTCATCAAGGGACTGAGGGGTAGAAATTGCACTGGCAGGATCAGCATTAAACCCAGGACCTGGTCTTTCCACTCAGGAGGGCAAAGCATCGAAAACAGGAAACACAATTATGTAGGTTCATGGTCTCCCTACCCCAAGCTTCCTAGTTCAACAACAAAACGATCACCTGACCAACTAGGATGAGGCAGGCAAGACAGGGGAGTCCTGGCTAAGGACAGGGAACTGAGGCTCTTCTGGGTTTGGCAGGTATATGAGATTAGGGGTCACAGATCGAAAGGGTTAGAGTAAATTTTAGCTACAGTTTATTTTTGCAAACTTCCAGGTCATGAAATCTTGACTTTTTCTTTGGGTGACATCCAGAACAAGGAGAGTTCTTGGGCAGAGCAGACAGAGTTTCTCTCAGTTCTTGTGACATCATGGATAGTTCCGGAAGTATAGGGAGAGCTCCAAAGAATGCCAGGATGGAGGCGGAGGCAAGGTATTTCATTTTGCAATGGTTATGGTTTTGGAAAATCATAGTTTAGCTATTCAAGTACTATGAAAAATCCAAGTAGGTGCTTTGCATTGGAAATGGAGCCTTCAGATGGGCCTGGTGCAACAGCCTAGTAGCTAAAGTCCTGTCCTTACATGTACTAAGATCCCATATGGGTGTCAGTCTGTGTCCTGGCTGCTCCACTTCCCTTCCAGTTCCCTGCTTGTGGCCTGCAAAGGCAATAGAGGATGGTCTAAGCAGCTGTGGGACCCTGCACCCAGGTGGGAGACCTGGAAGAAGCTCCTGGCTCCTGGCTTCAGATTGGCTCAGCTCTGGCTGTTGCAACCACTTTCTCTCTCTCTCTGTAAATCTGACTTTCCAATATAAATAAATAATTTTTTTAAGGAACCCTCCAGAAATACCCTCCATTTGCCACAACTTCTTTGGAATCAGGCTGTGAAGTTCACCATGTCTGCCCTGGATTTTGTATCTGACCACCTCTATGCCATTGCTCAAGTGTTTTTCTCTTCTGAGTGCCTTCTTCCTACTCTGCCTTGTATTTCATCAACTCACATAACTGCATAACACCCAGGCCTCAAGCTCCCATAGCTCCCACATCTAACTCATGCAAGGAGCCTTCCCTGGCCCCTGCAACCCCTTGGTAACAATTCTTAACATCCTTATAGGATGCTGTGTACTCCTTCATTTTGTTTACACTTGTACATTCATCCGGTTTTTCATACCTGTGTACTTACTAAGTGCTTAATACATTTCGTGTCTTGCACCATTTGCTATATCTCTGAAAACAGTTAAAATAAAAATAGCTCATTCCTCAAAGAGCTCTCAATTTCATAAGTAGGTATGTAAAGAAACTGGCCACTGCAATATAGGTAAAATTATGTAGTTTGTCTAATGGATTCTTAGCAATACTGGGGAAAGGGCATCAGGTGGAAGTTGACTAAGTAGATAACCCTTGAATAAGTATGGGAGGATGAACAGGAAGTCAACAGACAGTAATTTTCTGAAACACATGGCGTACAAGGGTATCTACATCATACGAGCAGGACATTTTTGTTCATTTTTTTCTCTACCAGAAGGCAGAAATGAAAAAAGGAGCAGGGGAACAAGAGAGAGAAGAAGGGGGGAAGGGTAGAAGTGTGGTTGGAAGTTTGGGAACATAGAAAGATAGAAGGAAGAACGGAAGGAGAATGGGAGAGAGGAAGAAAGGAAAAGACCAAGTAATCTTCAGATGTGTGCTTCGCAAGTCTTGTACTCAAAAGATTGTTCACTGAATGAATGCATCAGGTTAAATTGCAACATTTCATATAGGATTCATTTTGTGAACAGAGGGTTTCTTCCTTGCTCATCATTAAATCTTTATTTTTGCATTTCCATGAGCCATTTACCAATGTTTAAATGAAGTATCAAATTGTTTGGAGGGTTACTGTCTGACAGAATAAATTACAGAGAAGACTTAATTTGTAGCATGGTTCAATACAGCCAATTAAATACAGTATGGATTAGGAAGTCATCTGCTGCAGACTTTACCATTAGCTTTCTTTTTTTAGGAATAAATCCTGCCCTATTTAGCCTTCATATTAGTACTGTGTGTGCATGTGTGCATAAGAGTCCCTGCTTTCCCAAGGCAGAACTATTCACAGTCAAGATACCCACCAGGATTCCAGTGAGTTAACAACAAAACACAAAGGCAGATACCCAGATAGGGAATAAAAATAGATACACGCAAAATACATCACTTCACACGGGGAGCAATTACAGTGTTAAAACCTCACAAGACAAAGGGAGGCTCAGGCTCATTATCAAGGCCTTTCTCTTCTCCAGCATATTTTTGGATGCATTTGTTGTACTGCATTGCCAACAAGGATGGGAGGTAACCTCTGTATCAGCCTCCAGGCACCCCATCATCAAATGCTAAATGGAACAGGTCAGAGGGAATTGTTCCCTGGGCTGGTAAGCTGCAGTCTTTTAGAAGATTTTGTTAAGGACGAGATCAGGTTTCCAAATATCCTAATTTCTAGCTGAGGAGGCAGTGTGGGAACAGTGGATGCTGGAGACAGATAGGATGCCAACAAAATACAGGCTATATCAAATGGGTGGACTCAGGCATAACACTCTCACTTTCTGAAACTTCCTTTTTTCTTCTTTCATAATAGAAAAACATGATATAGAACCCAGGCTTTTGTTGGAAATATTATATCAATTCATATGAAATATACCATAAAGCAATGATATTTTTATTCACCCAGAACGAGAGAAAAAAAAACCTACACTAAAATCATTTCCCTACCCTCTTATCTGAAGTTTTGCTTTTCTAAGGTTTCAGTTGTTCATGATTAACCATGGTCTGAAACAGTCAATGGAATATTTCAGAAATAACCACCAAATTAGGAATAAAGTTGCACAGCACTCTAAGTAGCATGATAGCATCTCATATTCCTTTGCCATATCTCACTCATGGAATGAGTCCTTCCTCCGTCCGTGTCCACATATCTGCCCACCTGCCAAGAAGCAGCCACCTCAGTTATCAGATCTACTTTCATGTTATCACAGTGCTTGTGTTCCGTGAGCTCTTACTTAGGAACAGCCCCCAAGCGGAAGCCTCAAAGCATTTCCTTTGAAGGAGAAGGTAAGGGTGCAAGACTTCATGAAGAGTGATAAAATCATGCT